TAAACAAACGAGCGAATCGATTAGTACTCTAAGGGAAGGGCCCAGCCACGATGATGATCACACGTGTCTGAGCCGTATCTAGCAACTGCTAGAGTAAGGGAAGGGCTCTTCCCCACCATTCCAGCGCACCCCGAAGTTCCTTTTTTTTTTTCCTTTTCCCTGCTTGTCATGATTGGGCTTCTTGCACTTGCGGCTCCGCACTAAGGAAAAGTAAGTATAGTAAGTCGAGTCAAGTAAGCGAAGCGAGCCTCGCGAGTGATCCCTTATGAATGCGATAGCTATATCACCATAGCGGTCGTCATATCAGTCAGTTCATGAGAAAGGAGATCGGGTGGTATGTATTCTTGCCCCTCCTAGATCTTCTTTCCTCCGCCCCTTCCAACATAGCTCAGTACTATCGCAGCTAACCTCCTTACCTACTACCCCGCTTCGCCGGTGAAATCGATTTTGCCCTGTCGCACGATATCGACCTGAGAAGGACGGACCAGAACCTGACCACCCTTGTAAAGAAGATAGGCTGCACACAAATAAAGGGTAGAAATAAAAGAAAAGAAAATAAAAAAAATAAAAAAGGGAATAAAATAAACAAAAGGGAAGATCATCCATATGTGGAGAGCGAATCAGAAGCTTTCCCTTTTCCGATGCACCTTTCGGGCTTTGCTTCGGTTTTTATCCACCATGCTTCCCGGTGGCTAAAACGAGAGCTGGCTGTTTGGCTGGCTGCTGGTTGGAGCTTCAGCAACAGCAGCAGCATGAGCAGCAGCACTTCTCTGCCCCAACCCAAACATCGGATTCTCAGCTCCTGCATAACTAACTTATTTCCCACCACCACCCATGACGAGTTGGTTTGTGGGGTAATTATTTATTAGTTCACTCAACCTATATCTCATCGCGGCTGTCGAGAAAACAAAAACAAAAAGAAATGGTGCAACTCAAGACACGGCGCAACCTGTTCGGATCCGAGTAGCCGAATTGGGAGCTATTGCACTTCACTTGACTGGACCCCACATGAACTTCGTCATGTCAGAATGTAGAAGCCTTCTCGAAGCTGTGAGAAAAATCCCATCCTATCTATCATCATCTATCTGGCCTCTAATCTAGGTGAGATCAAGAGGTAAGATGGTTTGTCACAAAACCACCATAAGCCAGGGTGGTGTACAATAGGCGATTGCTACGATTTTCACGATCGTGAACAAGTCCATCGCATAAAGAGACCTGATGTAGGGCATACAGAATACGAGCAATCAACAACAAGTGAAAAGTGAGAAGAAGCAATTCAGGCTTTGTTACCAGTCTCACGATAGTACGGTCTTGAGTCGTTCCGTAAACTTCCTTTATCGTGGGTGTTGAATCATGATATCAAATATAATATTCACAGCAGCTGATAGTAGCAACGTGATTATTGCAGTCGGCCAAATTGACCAACAATGGGCAGGCTGAGGAATTCTGCTATTACGCGTGCCCTGGGCCTGAAGATCAGGGCATGGCCATCAGGGCGCTTGCTGGAAGGATTTGAAATCCGAGATAGTTACGCGTGATCGGCTGGACTATAAGTTAGCTTTTTTTCAAAATCTTGATTTACAATTTTCCTTGAAGCTCAGAGAGATTGTAAGTAGCCATGTAGATGCAAACATATGGACGAGACATACGGAGAACGGGTACTGAATAGTTCCAGGGTCCATTTCCACAGGGAGCTCGAGGGGAGAGAGCTTAGGGGAACATTCCGGGGACTCCGGTGAATAGTAACTTTGCATACCTACATGTGTCCGACGGACTAATCTAAGCCGTCAGACCTGTCGGAGCTTTTTTACATCATGGCGAAGCAGCTAGCTGAGTTTCGGGCTACTGATTTGTTTCGATGCAGTTCATGGTATCCAATCGCTGCTAACCCGCCATGATACGACCCTCGGTAGCCTGCCGAAAGCAGAGGCGGTGGGGCTGACATGCAGCACGTAAAAACTTTGGATGAAAAAAAACTAAAACTCGTATGTAAATCTTGGGTCACCCTAGAGTAGTGAAGCCAGACCAGGGAGGGGTATTATTAGTAGATATCTATGATGTCGATCGAGCTGGGGAAGAGGGAAGTGCTTCCCTAATTCAAGGAGGTGCCGTATGACTTCTTTGGGCTTTTCACATTAGCTTGCGTTTTATCGCCCACAAGTGCCTTGTGAGAGAACGACACCTTCTTGGGCAGGAAAAATCCGGTGGTTTAGAGGAGACAGAAGTTGATCCTTGATTTCGGTTATGTGTGGCGGAGGTTGCTGTGGTGGGCGAACTTTTTCTCTTTATTTTATTTATTGTGATATATCGGATTGCGGAGTACATGAACCCTGACATGAGCCGGAGGAAACGAATAATTGCTACGGAGCATTTTAATTGTTGCGTGGGCGGGAAAACGGTTTCCGCGTGCCCCTTGACGAAATCTAGATCTGCGGAGACAGTTTAAAGAAACTCAATGATTATGACCACGGCCTCGTTTGCTAGGTTTGAAGAGAGGCACATCAATACTATTATTTTGGCGAGGACAGATGAGAGTGAAAAAGACAGATGGTTTACTGGGATCTTGCGGATACGGTGACCCTGTATGCATGGTGGTGTAACAGCTGACTGGTCTTCGGATATGCTAAGTGAAGATCATGCATGAAGAGCCGCCATTACTGACGGACTTCAAACTAACTCGGACAGACTGATTCCATCAAGAATCAGAATCAGTTCGTGCTTTCGATTCTCAGTTCAACCTCAAGATCAAATTTCAAGGCTCGGTATCCCTTGCTGCAGCTGTTATTTGCTAATGGGAAAAGGTAATTGTGATAGTGAACAATAAAGGACAAGGAAGGGTGGATGGATGTGGGATGGATGTACAGAGAGAGGCTGTCAATAACGTAGGCTGGCCTTTACATGCAGTCTGTTTTGATGAGCTACTCTGGGATACGTATATTCATAGGCGATTTTCCGATCCGACTCTGTCCACCACTTTTCACGTCCCCAAAAGGCAAGCCCCTCTCTCTCTCTAGCTATTCTGTATATACATGTACTGCTACATCTAGTCAGCCCAACATCCGTTTCAATTAAGGTGGATTTGTTATCCGTAAGAGGTTATGACGTCGTAGGTTCTCTTTTGTCCACTCACAACCCTCACAAGCACCACCACCACCACCACCACCACCACCACTTCTACCACCACCTCCACCACCAATAATCACATACACGGTGCTCCAATAATGGAGCAAGGTCAGATTCTCCGCCTTCCAGTCTGACGCCTCAATACAAGATGGGACGAAAGGGCTCAAAAAAGAAAGTATAAATAATAAAAGGAGTAAAAAGAGGAAAAAGCGACTTGTGGGAACATGACCATTTTGGCTCTTTTGTACTAACATATCTTGCATGATGTCAAGTATCATCTACATGTGTCAGTCGTGATCTTTATTTTTGCAAATGATGCGGTTCAAGAAGTACTCATTTCACCTGTCTTGGTGAGTGAGGCTGACGCACTTTGTAGGGAGACTGAGCTAACTCTCTATTCAGTATTGAGTTGATGAATTCCCAGATTCATTCCTCTACTCCGGCACGGCGCAAGGCGCGCGTTTGCTGATTTCTAGTGGAGAGCGTACGCACACTCATCATTATTTACGGCAGTGCGGCCACCCGCTGCAATTGCTTGGTAAAGGATCAAATGAAAAATAAATAAAAATAAACATAGACAAGCATGGACCACTAGCTGATTTACAGCTTGAAATATTTGTCAATTATTGCTCGAAAGCTCGACCGGCCAAGCCATTCAATATCCTTGGGAGGGGGTTGTTAGAAAATTCACATCGAAACTGCGCAGGGAACAGATGAACGACTCGATGTTGAAGGGCTGATTGAAGAAATTATATTGGATCATCTTCCCGACCGTCGTGCATTATGCAGATCGGCCCTGATATCCAACAGGCGAGCGAATGGTGCTTCAGCGGGAGTGTTGAGGAGTAACGCGCATAGCGTATCCTAGAGACCCACTACAACGGTTATAGGCTGGGGGTACTCATCCAAAACAGCAGGCCCTCCACATCTAGCCCCAACAGAGTAAAGAGAGACATATTTCGAATGGCATAGAGGTATTTTTTCTCTCACTAATAGTCTGATTCAGTCATAGCGGAGTACGAGTGCGTGCGAAGGCGAGAGAATAGGTATGTAATGAAACAGAAAGAAGAGACGAAGCCATAATACGGCGGCGAACATTTCGATCCCATACACCGCCTTGATTCTATGTGTGTCAACCAGTACCTTTCTTGGGCGGAGGTGCGCGTATTAGGATCATGTTTATTTCTTTTTTGCTGCCTTCCAGTCACAACGAGTCAACCAGTCAGGCAGGTCAGGCGGCGCAGAAGCAAAGAGAAGGCAACCCCCCCATATCCATGTTCACTACATATCCTCGAACATCAACCAGCTCGGACAGGGGAGATAATATAAAGGAGTGATCATCCCTCCCCCCCTACATACCCACGCGATATATTCTGTGAGATCGCCCGGTCGTTTTTTATTTATCTTGTCATTTTCATTCCCCTCTGACCTCTCATTATCTATCCTAGAGTTAGTTCTTGCACTGCAAACGTTGCCTGAACTCCACTGTACTGCTGCATTCATCCCACATTTTTCGGGAATTATTCTCTTATCTCGGCAAATCTACAAGTCAATTTTTAATTTTTTTTATCTTTACCATTGCTCAACGAGAAGTCTGTTTTCCTTCTCAGATCGAACATAAACTTCATAAAATCCCCTTCACCCCGTAATTTTTGTTTCAATATTTTCATATCCCCGTCTCGATCCTCTGCCCCCGTGAGAACCGGGTCATCGAACGCATTGCCAAAAAGCCGATCATTTGACCTAGGCTATACATACATACATACATACTACTGCCATCATCGATCAAGAAGGTCGAAAGACCAGGACATCAACGGGAGGAAGCATATATACCCCGCATCATCACAAGCCTTCTGCAAGGCTTAAAGAATACCGTAATGGGCGGTTTATCATATCGGTCCTCATCTCCTCCGACGCCCTCTATCGCCCCTCAGGTCTTCGAAGAGGAGGATCCTGTACCCCTCCTGTTCCTCGACGACGACCTTAGTGATTTGTCGGCAGGTATAGATTCGTCCTCTCCTCCAGGAAGCCCCGCTTTCAACTCGGATGATAATATGGGCCAATACATGTCGATCACTTCATTCCCGCCCTTAAATATAGGCATGTCCGCCTTTTCGACACGCAAGAAGGCATCACCAAAGACAGCTATGAAATCCTCATCCGCCCTAGCGAAGTCCTCAGGATCTACCAACAGCACTGGTGGCAAGCTCAAGAAGATTGTACGCTTCTTAGAACAAGTCGAGTTTGTGCCCTCTTCGGGCCCGTCTTTCACGCCTCATTATACATATGATGATGAAGAGGACGATGCCGGTTTTCGCCAGTCCAACAAGAAGCAGCGTACACGATCACCTACCAACGACTATGACAACATCCGAGACGATCCAGCCATAAACTCAGGTTTAGGCCGAGCCGGATCTCCAAACAGGTCGCCAAACCGCTCTCCTAATGGCTCATCAAAGCATCTCCCGATGCCCGTGATTGAGGTAGACAACGACTACCTCTCGCCACCACAAGAGTACTATTTTTCGTACTCTCCTCCCTCACCACCACCCTCGTGGCGCATCCCACCCTCAAGCCTTATCGGGAGACAACCACATGTACAGGAGCCACCACGAGTGCGCTCACCACGTCAAGAGGGCGAAGAGATTGATCTGATGGCTCATGGCGACAAGCCGGCGCGAGACAGTGGGATCTACATGGACTACTCGGATGATTCAGACTCGGAACATCACAATGGACAGCTTCTGTCGCCGCCGTCATCGCCGCATCCACCAACTATTCATCCTGTTATTGCGAGGAAGATGTGGCCACATGGAGAGATCAGGTTTGAGGACCAGTGGGGGAGACGATTGGTTCCTGCAGGTCATAAGGATAGCTTCAGGTTTGACCTGTGGCCAGTGGAGGAGGATGTTAATGGAGAAGGTGTCGGTGCGAACGCAAAAGGTGCTTGGGTAGGAAGGTTTAGGGGTATGAGTAGAGATTAGAAGATACGATAAAGAGATGGGTATCATGGTGCTTGTGGTTGTGGTGAAATATTTGGTTCGTTACAAGAGGAGATACCCGGCTGTTGCTTGCTAGCTAGAGCTACTGCTTCTTTTCGACTAGACCATCGATTGGTTGGTTGGTTATTTATCAACTACTTACTATCTCATAAACACAGAAGACGATCTCGGACTAAAGTTGTTCTTTCTTTCTTTCTCTTTTCTATTTTATCTGCGTTTGTCTTTCTGTTGTTGCTGCGTTTGCTTCTATTCTTGTCTATTGTTTTTGATCGCTATCTCTTTTTTTTATTCGCCCGGATTTTTTTACTTTATTTATTTCGATTTTTTGTCTTTGCATGTTTGGTGTTATTTTTCTCTTCCGGTTTTCAAGGTTCGGAGGTACTATTGGGCACGGCTTTAACGACCTGTTATTTTTTTGCGTCGTTTGAACTGTATTATCCGGGTGGTCGGTCAGTTCTGGTGTTATAGGGATTTGGGTATATTTTTCCATCGTTTTCTTGATAAACCAGGTTTTTTTCTCTTTTCTTTTTTTTCTTTCTCTCTCTCTCTCTTTGGCGTCTCACATATCTCTTATCGAACTTTTTTGCCAGATTTCACCTTTCTAGCAAGTTGGCCAAGCTTTTTTCTTCTTCACTTTTCTATGCAGTCGTTTTTCTACGTCTCTCTGGAAATACTTGTTTTTTTGTTACCCACTTGGGAATCCGGATCGAAGTCACAATACTAGCTAGCTATTCACTGGTATTTCGGTGTATATGTGAGGATTGATAATTCTATTGAGTTGCTGAATTGAAAGAAAAGAAAAAATACCTTCCTGCGCACAAAGATAGAGAGAAAGTTCACAAGGCGGAGATGATTTCCGTGTCATCGTGAGTATTTAGAATAACTAATCACATGTGCACGTAAACAAATACCCTTGTAACGTTCTCACACAGTCGCTTACTCGTGATAGGTCGGTCATGACCAGGACAGGACAGCATACCGTCCCGGAGTGCCCTCCTCGATCACTAATGGAAATCGCACATTGCAAGGGCAAAAAGGGTGGGTGAAACATCCAAGAGCCTCAGTAGTCTCCTCGTAGCAGTAGTTACCCGCAAGAAAATTTCTTCTTTCGCCCTTCCCCGCCGCTGATCTGCGCCGCATGATAAAATCACTTCTGAGTTCAAGCCCCGTCTGTGCTAAGCGCACAGTTGGATATTTGAATCTTAACCTTCATCTCTTGGACACCTGGATGTAAATCATGGCGTTGCGAGTGATGTGGCGTGATGGTTGCGCTTGCGGGATCACTATTGGCCTGTGCGTGTGCACTTAGCGGGCTGTAACGGTTTTTCCAAAGGGAAGGAAATAAATAACAAGTATTGCAATATAAACCGGTCGAAGCGAGCCAACAATTGCAAAGGACTTCAGAGATCACAGGAGCACAAAGCTCTACAACCATGTGGGTGGTGTTATAGAAAACAAGATAACGACCACTGCCGCGGAGCGTGCCGTAGTTTAGGGTCTTGCAATATCAGAGGAACCGTTAGAGATAGGGCGAGCAGAGAAAAAAACTGGGAACTTACACTTACCCAACGAGTCATGTCAGCGGATACTTCCGGTCTGCTCATGAGTTCTCGTTCATCTCACGTCGCTAATTGGCTAGTGATACCCAAGGAATGAGTCTCAAGAGTCGCACTCATTTCGCGGCCCCCGGGATCTATAGACTTGTGAAACTACAGGTATGTATCTCGATTGTTTATTGCTAGGTTGTTCCTTTGGTGTGGACTTGCTGATATGTATGTACCCGTAGTTGTGGGCGCTGGGGTGTCGATGTCTTCCCCACAATTTCTGTTTCTTTTTGATTGATAATTAGTAAGGTTTTGGTCAAGGCAACTGCGTTGGTTTTTGTCGTTCCCTGGTCTCGGGCCCACTTACTCACTCAGCCCACCCCTATATTTTGCTAGGCGCCGCGTTCAATTGAGTCTTACAAGTACCAAGAAGCCAGACCTCGATTTATTATCCAGACAACCACCCATCCCCTTCGCTTGGGTTTCCCACGTTTCCCTTTCCGTTTCCTTTTTCTCTCTTCCTATTGCTAATAACCTTGGAACCCCATGGGGAATTGGCGCTAGACGCGGGTAGGGAAAATTAAATAGAAGGACGCTAGTTGATTATCCCATGTAATGCCATGATACGAGCAGCAGCCAGTTAGAATTCAGAACTCCCGACCTGCGGGGGACATGAGTATGACAGTTGCTAAGGCAAGGAAGTAGAACCCGCTAGTAGCCGTCTGTGTTTCTGTCAAACTCTTAATTACAGTGCGTCATGTTATTGAGGGCTTTCTGGTTAATTCCAGCTCTCACTGAAACATCTCTGCGTTGTGCCGAATCTGAGTCTAACTGCGTAGTGCAAGCAAGAGAAGGATCCTGAGCGAAAGAATGGTGAGGTATATATACTACGGCATTTGATAACGGTAAGAAACGACGTTGGGAACGACCAATCATGCACTCGACCAGATTCGGGCTAGCCGGGGGGTTGGATGCGGTATTGATCTTGTTTATCTACGGCGTCTTGGCACGGTTGTCAGCCTATCTTATCCATCTTATCCATAGGGGCATTTGCAGGTGCCAGATCTGCAGAAACCCCTTAGCAACCAATCTTCAGAGACCCTGGAAATTTGCCGTGAAGGCGCTGCATAAATTCGAGTATATGAAGGTCCTCCGAGGTATATCGAGGCTTTATGGCCGCTCTGGGGAATCTCGAGACCCCTCTCTAATTGTCGACAATCATAGGTAGCTAGGTAGATATCGATGCGTAGGTAGAGATACAAAGGTGGCCCTCGTGTAGAGTGCGCCGAATTCGAAATAAGTGGTGTTAACAGCTACCTGTATTTTCAAGTAGGTACATCTGTAACTTTGGCTCGCCTTGAGGCTCATATTCTTTGGGGTGTCAGTTGCTGACCCTTTTCGCCGGGGTCAGAAGCCACGATAAATCGAGATTGGTAATTGGTGAGATTATGATTCAGGTCCATGCTTTGTGGCTGCTAGCCACCTTCTTCAACACACAAAAAATGTCAGCAGCTTAGAGATAGGTGAGGGAGTTGTGACACACCTCTAAGAGGGAGCGAGCAATATGCATAGTAACCTCGTGAAAGTTCGGGTATCATATGCAACTCTATATGGATGGAATACTTGAATACGCTGATGACTTACTTTCCGAACGGTAATTAAGCTACGCCGCGAGAAGCCATAAGGCGCTGGGAGTGTCAACTTTGGAGGACATGATTTTTGCATGGGAGCCACAGTAAATGCTGGCTAGTTGGGTGCTAGCGCCGTTCTGGGTAACAGATATTTCTATACGTTACAGTATGTACATTTGGCTACGTAGAAGCTGATTGGTTAACCGGCCTTTCAAGCACGTTGACATTAATTTGCACACCTACTCTACCCCTCCATCACTTCTCGCTTCCAGAGACGTATTCTTCAAAATTACACTTCCTTCTATTGATCCTTTATTTATTCTCTTATTATCCTAAAGGCAGCAAGATTCATGTATATAATCGATCGATCCCCAATAACTCCAGGGATGCCAGTAAGTACGGTCCGCTGCGGGCAACAAAAAAAACAACCGAAAACAACATCAAGCTCAGTTTGCATGTGCCTTCAATTGATGTTCATCTTAGCTTCGCACTCTACCTTTGGTTGAGGACGCTCAGATGAGTACCTATACGACTACGAAGTTGTTTATCTAATCTTAGGCGGGTGGGTACATATTAGATCTACGCCACTAATCTCAGCAGAATTGTAGTGTATTGTACAATGTTAAATCACCACATAGTCACTTGACTCACGAGATTATTGTCGGATCGGTCGATCTTGAAACGCCTCTTGCCAAACGACCCTCGAAAATTGAATTGGCTATGCAAGTGGAGTACATAATCTCACCTAATGGGAATGACTTGAAAGTGGAAGCTGTAAGAGGACCACGGAGGATCTGCTTTTCCAGTACCGGTTATGGCGAGCCCCGGATCCGCAGTCGATCACTGGTGGAGCAACGGCTTCGGGATGTGAAATTTCGGCGAGCTCGGAGAAAATAGTTGGACTGTTAGAGAGGCTTAACCGCACGGCATCCATTATCGGTACAAAACTACGGCTTCTTCTCTTGTGTGACTTACCTAACTAATCTGATTTGTGCCGTGCGCTGTAGAAGTCGGAGAGTAATTCCGCTGTAAATCATTGGATACAAATATTCAGACGTGTCTAAGGTCCATAAAGAACCCTTCCCTTTGAGTGGTCTATGGTCACGAGATTGATTACTGCAGAGACACGAATGACGGAATACGAAAAATGTGAAAACATGGATTATCCCTCATATTTCGGGCCCATTAAAGTGAAAAACGCAGAGTAATACCTCAGCACCAACCTTAGCAGATACATACATAACCCGAGTTAACCAATAAGACTCTCCTAGGGGAAGTGTGTTCCAACTCCTCAACCGTGTTCAAGGCTGTGGGTTTGCTTTTCCTGCGGAAGAAGGCTGTTTGACTCCTGGGTAATTTTCAAAATCGACCCCAAAGCGCGTAACCAAATACGAACTTAGTTTTGGTAGCTACTTACTTAGTAAAAGACTAGTTGGTCAATCAATACTGCCATCGAATATGAAGCTACCAAAAGTACATATCTATTACAACATACATTGACCCAAACAGTTTTCGTTCAGGCCCAAGACATATAAGAATGCAGATTCATGTAGGTTGATCAAGTGCATTGGACTTTACGCCTATACTGGGGATACTCATCAGCATACTACACAGATCTTGAACTGGAATGGCGCTCTCAAAGAATATTTCCTGTACTATAGATCTATAGAGGGCTTTAATCCCTAGTCTCGGGTTATACAACAGATTCCGTCTGATTTCCCATATATGGCCATGGCATGATGATATCAGCGGGTATTGTGATAGCACAAGTATCAGGTCTGATTTTGACTTTCATGCGTCTCGTTTCCGAACATTTCAAGACAGATATCCGACCAATTATTTTCAGGCTCGAAATAGCGGGGGTGAACCCTAGAAAAAGAAAACGTTCACGATGGATCGGACTGGTTGTGGTTAATATTGCTTATCTGGCGTACCACCTCTAATTTCAGCAATATTATATAGGCCGCAGAGTTCTTGATGTTTGAGGGAGCCCTAAGTGCAAATGATGATTCGTTTCAGGTCAAATCCCCAAGCGCAGTGATGGAACATTCCGCCTGTCAGAGCCCATTTTTCTGTTCTACAGCACATACACGTGGAAACATGCAAATTTTCGGCTGACCTACATACCCATTCAGATTTAAGTCTCTGTCGAAATAAAAAGCTTTATGTGCTGCATTGGTGGAAATCCGTTAAGATTGACCTGCATTGCACTTTTGCGGGGTTTCCCGTAGATTACACGCGTGCAAGCCGCAAAGCGAATTTTTAATAAACTTCACGGGGATCTTGTTTGCGGGTCGCAACAATGGCTTCTGTTAAAGCTCGCGCACCTCTAAACATGGCTAAGAGAGAATCTTCCCGGGCTCTATGGCGTTTTCTCGATAGTCAAGCTAGAGTAGTAGGAGTACGATCTGGTATCGCAGGATCGAATAGGGGTCTGTACATACATGTACTTTTACTTACTACTTATTAACATATTTTTAGCACCACACGGTATGCTGGAGCAACCGTGCGTAGATGTGTTTTTGGGCTTGATTCGAATGCATAACGGCTTGACTCACAGACCCTTTTCGCAGGGCTTTCTTGGTATGACAAATCCCAGTACACTGCCCCTTGTCTGTTTCGAAAATGACGATCCTCACCTGGATTGATGTCACCGGTCCTAAAGTCGGAGTATGTGGTGGTTTGCCCAGAAAGATTTAAGCTTCATATCAATGATCATATGGGTATAAACACCATTATCCATAGTACTGCAAAATCTGCGATGTGAGAAATCTGGCCTCTACTGTTCAAAAGAAGAAAAAAACGTTATCGCATATAATTCAGAGTTCACGATAACACATCATCTTGCGGCCCGCATGGTAAATCGTATGATCATTGATAAGTCTTTTGGGGGATAGGTATCCTACCTATTCTCATCATACAGCAAAATCTATCATAATTCCACCCTCTCGAAATTCAATCCCTACCAAACTTCTAGCATACGCGTTCTGAGGGAATAAAACTTGTGGCTTGCTAACAAATACCTCTCTCTAAATTCCATCCCTCCGATAATTCAAGCAAAATTCGGCCACCGCGGGGGTGGAATTATGATAGGTTTTGCTGTATACCTGTATAGGAAACTGCGTAGCTTTGCGATAATAATGACAATAATGATTCCGATATCGTAAGTAACCTGTTACTTTTGTTCGTGAGTGAGTAGATATTTTTAGTGTTCCCGAGGGAGATCTTCTTGACACGTGATATAAGCATAATCATGGTAAATCACTCGATGTAACTACGGCGAAGTAGCTTTCTAGGTGGCTGATTGATGTGTTTTGTGGCTAACGGTAGGGATAATACGGTTGAGTCGACCTGTTATAGAAACTGCCAGGTCTTGAGCCTAGACAAGGGGTTCTTTCACAATCTCCTATTGAAAGGTTTGGAATATCTTTAGATACATAAATAGTGAAAAATACCTGTATGTTAGGGCGTTGTACAGCCACTCTGCAAAAGTGTTCGTATTCTGATTTCGGAGTGAGGCACTTCTCTATATGTAACCGTGGTGGACCATCAAAAAAACCCCAAGAGAAAGCTTTCCCAGTGACCAATGGAGCCCGGAATCAATGAAGAATAAGATCAATGACCTATCTTCTTTTATATATAGCCACCAACTATATTATATATTTTTCGTTGTTTTGAATCTCTACATCAATAACATCAACATCACGGGTGCGCCACACTGCGCACTAACATTAAAACTAAATCACGAACACTTTTGCTAAGTAGCTGTATATCAATATATATAGAGCGTTAGAGCTCCATCACAAATCAAGCAATGGAATAAACTGTCCTAGGAGTCACAAAAGAACCTAGAAGGTGTGCAGTTGTATACAACTATCACTTCTTGGATCGTAGTAACAAATGTCTGCTTGAGCTGTGGGAAGTCGGCCACGAACACCGGTTTATATTCAGAGCCAGGGTGACTTCATAAGGTCAAGGTAATTGCTGTCCTCAACGAGTTATGGCATAAGTGTCTATAAGATCATGAAGATAGGTGTTCTTAGCACATAGATGTATATATAGGAGCCGAAAGATCCACCCTCTCTTCCCCTACCGCCAATATAATTGCATTCTATCACGCTTACAAGTAGCCTGTTACATGGCCGCTGTTTGGTGATTCGTCTTTAATTCCAAACCCCACTCGACGACACAAGTAATTTAATTGACTGAGAAAATATCCTTCCAATCATCTTCCCCCCCTTTATCCAACTGACAACCAGACTACCGTATGCTCAAGTGTTTGAATTCCGAGACTAGACGCCTTCACGGGGGTAATATAATATGGGACCGGTATGGTGCTTTCCTTGATTGCTACTAGATCAAGGAATCTACGAAATTAGGAAAGTCAAGACAGTCGAAATCTTTATTAGATACAGAGAATCGTATCTATATGCTTTCTTGGGTGATATTCTTCCTATATTTTATCCTCATTTTTGACGTTCTTAGTTGCTCCACCATACCCGGCCAGCGAAGATGTCTATCTAGCACATACATAAGCCATATTAGCAGGGTCACATGCTCACCAGGGTTAGGGTTTCTTACTCAATATCAATATTAACGACCACGATAATATCGGCCTATGCTAGTGAAGCTCCGGACAGGTTTAGAGGGCTAGCTTTTCGGTCGTTAATAGAGCTGAAATCGAGCACTGAAGTGACTTGGGTAAAAAGTGGTTTGTTACGGCCCTTTGATCATGGGACATCACTCACTGGATCAGCTCCATCCAATCCTTGGCGATACCTCTCGATGGGGGGTTGGAAACAAGACTACGCTGTAGAGTTGGAGAACAACCGAGTCGTGTGTTGAGAAGAGAAGCGTTAATTGGGAGTGGGAGAGGTTGGTCGGGTACAGCAGGTGGAAATAAAAGCCGATAGTGACAGACCTAATGGGTGTTGGGTGAGCCAAGGTGCCAGACGTCTGCTGGCCGTCGTCAGTGGTTGTTCGCCCATGAACGTCTTCTCCAACAACTTGCCCTCCATCTCTCTCCGCCACAACATTCAAACATGAACGAACGAACGGCCGCCCAGCTCGCGAGAGAGGTAGCAGAAATTACAAAGGAGATATCACCAATGACGAAGCCAAAAGGCACTAGAAAGTATTTGCTCGCTGCGAAGATCAAGACGCTTATCTGCCACTTCAAGCGGACGTGTTCCACCGTCAATGCCACGGGTTTTCACCACCTCCCAGCGGATATCATCATCAATATCCTCTTCGAGATCGACGACGTCGAAGACCTTCACAGCTTCGTCCTCACCTCCCCCTTCATCAACGGTCTCTTCCTCCGCCACAAGCCCACTCTCCTCACCCGCCATGCCCGCGCCATCCTCACCGACGCCTGGGACGAAGGCACCGAAGTCCTCACCTGGCAGCGACACACCACTGCGAACTTCACAGCCACCCATGACGTCCTCCGTGATCTCCGCTCACCCTTCGTCCTGCAGGATCACGATCTCCGCCAACTCATCATCAACCGCGCATGGTTCGAAAACTGCCGCGCCATCTACCTCATAACACTGGAGCGGTCGGGAGACGAAACGCTACCAACGTTCCGCGAATCCCGCGTCGTGCAGTACTTCTTTGGCAGGACGAGAACAGAGCTATTCCCGCACAGGTTGTTCTACATCACTTGGCTTCTGCAGCTGCGGTTCCAGAATGAGCGGTTGGAGGCCTTTGCGAGCCGCCCTCAGCCAGATGCGAGGGAGGTGGCCGACTGCTTCCTGATGGGAAGGATCATGTTCTGCGCGAGCCCGGGGCTGGCCGGCTTTGTGAATATGCCGACGGCGAGAGAATCGTGGGGACAGATGCTGCGGCGGAACTTGATCACGACGTGGGTTGTGCCGCCGCCGACGCCGACGCCGGGTGTGGCCGGAGGGTTCACGATGCATGTGGACTCGCAGCTGTTTGTGAAGCAGAAGGTGATGTGGCATTTAGTTGCGAGGGTGGCGAGGGAGGTGGGGACTTTTGGCGAGGCTCAGAGGGATGGGTTGTCGGAGATTTTGGAGGATTTTACTAACGATTTTGGTGTCTTGGGGTTGGAGGCGTTGATGCTGAAGTATAGGATTCCGAGCAGCGTGTGGATGGTGAGTGTTAACTCTCGTGGCTTTGGTTCATGTCTGAGATGTCTGAGCCTATGACTAATGGGTCTGTAGCTCTAGTTGGGGTGAATCAAAGCTGGAAATAACGCATCATGGGGCAATCACGTACTGTAACTGGCTAGCTGGGCTTACTTTGTATATTTAACCATAGCTCTGGCTTTAGCTGCACATCAGAATAGAAATTTTGATTGCCATGGCGATACTTTCCCTTTTCAATTAAATATAACGCATTTTCTATTGGGGTTTTTTTGTGTTTTTCTTTCTTTCTTTCTTTTGGTTTGGTTATATCTTGTGTTTGGTTTTTTTGTTTTTATTTTATTGTTTTCTTGTTTTCATACTGAGCTACTGTACTTGGAATATTTTTATAGCCCCCGCGGCCAGGCTGCAAATAAATCGATGGTCAATATGGCCCGTGGAATCATGACGTATCACTCGCTGTTGTTGATTTGTAATAGCGATTGTTTGTAGCTATCCCCCGGAGACTATGACTATAGACTAACAATAATACCAACAGTAATATCAACCAAATAAGAAAATAAAACAAAAACAAAACAGAATAAAGATAAAAACAAAGCAACATAAATTAAAACTAAAACAAGCCAACCGCCTTCGCCCTAATTTCTCAGTACACGCACAATTGATGTGTTTCTTAAATTTCCATCTTCTTTTCTTTTCTTTCTTAATACTCGAGTCCCAACTATATGTTGTTCCTTTCTTTATAATGCAATTTGCTCTTACGTTACCCCCATTGAACCTATTTCTGATGATCTCGCCGGCTCGCTTTAACTTGTTCTTCAGTCTACCCGATGCCGCCATTGGAGAAGTTATCTCCAGATATTCCTGCGTAGTCCTAGTCCGTAATTGTAACAAATGCTTAATTGCAAGAACTTCTTGAATCTCACGCGAGGCTTCTCTGCATATGGAGAGAACAAGGATGATGCTTTCGTCGGTCTATGTTGGGATGTTATTTGTGTATGGTTTATTCTGTATGTTTACTTGTGGGCTGCATATATAGCTAGAATATAGGTAGGGTAGGTATATGGAGTTAGTATATATAGTCAGTAATAAGTAGTAGTTTATATACTTCTTATAGACAGACCTCCTAATATTAGACTTAGTTTAAAGCAAGCTGAGGATTCGTCTTCCGAGACTTCTTTTCTATTCTAATCATAAGCACAATAACCTATTATTGCGGGAGATCTGTCTATCTATCTAGCTCCAATTAACAACATCCAGTCTTTGAAGAAAGCGGTGCTCGGCCATCATCTTCAAAGTACTATCCTTCGTTTTGGCATGTACATTTCCACCAGCCCGCGTCTCCCGGCTCCTCCGGTTTTTGGTTTTGCTACTACTATCGCCCGACCTATCTCACCGCCCGGTCTACCCGCACTATCGCCATACCGCACTTCCAGTAGCAGTAAATATCCCACCACGGGTAGCACTATGAGCTGCTACCGGTACCACTAACTCCCACGGGCCAACTACACGCACTCCATCATGATCGAGGAGTAAACACGCAGTACGTCCATGGCCACCCATTGACGCCGGGGGTCGGCTCATAGCGCTGGAGCAAAGAAGAACCGTAGATAATATGTTCCGCGAGGAACGTTCTGCCCTAGTCAACATCCTCTAAAAATTCTTGCTGGCCAGTCGGCGCGGGTAGTTGTATAAGTACTCTGTCCGTCCCCCCTATCGCCATGACGCTCTGATTAGTTTGGCTCTGGGACGCATACGAAGATTAACTTTCAGAAGCCCGAATACTCCTAGATCTTGTTTAGGGTCCCATCTCCGATAGTCGATACTCAGGTCAGGTGCGGTGAAGTCGGGAGTCCTGCGCGCCAAGAAACATGGGGCAACTTGAAGCGAGTCATGTTCTATCACTCGGTCACTCGGCCGTATATGTTGCGAGAAGACGCAGCGCTGGCTAAGGGACATGTATGTACAATACCGCCAGCTTCTGCTGATAGATGGGGGCTCGGCAAATGATCTGCGCTCGATGGGTTAAGCATCCGCTTAAACAGGCGCACGTTGAGGCTTGTCTGGCATCTGAGGCTTGTTCGGTATCTGGATAGGCGCATGATCGACACTACATGTTTATTAATTCCGGTGTTAGGCATTAGCTAGATCGAGTAGACTGTCAACGGGGCCGGATCGACGGTTTCTTATTTCGGATCAAAGTGCCATTCAATTAATCTATCTTCCCACATTCCTGGGACGCAACTTAGATATCGTTAACGTTTGGAAGAGATCCGCGACTCACATCATGTATTGATTTGATGACTATGACAATAACCCAGCCCATATATACGCGTCAGCGCAGGAAAGAAAAATCTCGGTTGTGCTCGTAACCATAGTGCTTATTTTTCTTTTTCTTTTGCACATTAATAGAGTACTCAGGTAAAGTGCAATCTGCAATTGCTCATGATTACCCCCTTTATCTTAATCAAGCTATTTGGTAGGCTATGGTGCTGCTACGCCAGGGATTAGTTGAATCATGGCCATGGACAATTCTAAAGTCAGGGGATGATGCATGGAAGTTCGTATTCTTCCGCATCTGAGGATCAAGATGGAAGGGGTGGAAGGGTGGAAGGGTTGATGCTCTCTGCCGTTTAAGCTCTGCCAAGCCCCACTAGCACTAAGCGAGTCACGAGCGCTCACTCGCCCCCAATCCAACCAACCAACCAGCCCAATTAACCGTTCTCTCCCTCTAGCGGAGGATCATTAATCCTACAATGAGCACCACAAGCACTCTGCATAGCCGCATTACACCATGATCCAGGGATCCCAGTGGTGCAAACATACGTAGACCCTTTTTTTTTACCCAGCGGGCTCGGCGTCCGAACCGCCGAGCACCGAGCCCTAGCTGACATTCGGGGCCGAGCTTCGGTGCATGGCCCGAATATTACTCGCGTGGCAGATTTTTTTAGGGGTTGGTTTGGTTTGAGAGTACTACGTGGAGCTGGGCTGTGTCGTGCATTTTGCAGGCTAGGTGTGCGGTTTATGCTTAGTTTGGAATATACGAGTGGTACGGATCCCAGGGTGAGTAATTGTCATGGGGGTTGCAGAGAGTGTATAAAGATCTTGGGGTGAGTCCTGTCTCGTGGAATCTAGATATCGAACATTACTGATATATTATTACGCCTTTTCTGGCCTGCCCTGAGTTAGACTATTCGATTCTTTTTCAAGTCCCTGCCTGTCGAGGAGTTTGGGTCCTAACCTTTTTTCGCCTTTTTTATTTTTTTCCTTTAGCATTTTTATACTTATACTTATATTCCCGGCTCTCCACACAATAATGTATTCAGATACGGGCTCCATTATGGAACGAGCCACGGCCACAGCGACCGCTGCAGCTGCCGGAGCCACGGGCGAGGTGGATATCGACTACTGGCGTGATAAGACCCCCAGCACCACTGCCGCGATAGCTTTCGCCGCCCTCTTTGGTATTGGTGCAATTGCCCATACCTACCAATTGTTCCGCTACCGCGCCTGGTACTTTGGCGTCTTCCTCACGGGAGCCTACAGTATGTCCCCGATAACTAGATCCCCCTATCAAAAAGAGTACTATTCTAATATACCCATTTAGTGATGTGTGTCGGCTACATCTTCCGCCTCATCTCCATCAACAACTCTACAAACCTCGGCCCCTACGTTGTCCAACTCCTCTTCATCCTGCTCCCGCCCTCCCTCTACGCCGCCACCATCTACATGATCTACGGGCGCATCGTTCTCCTCGTCAACGCCGCCCACCTCTCCCTCATCCGCCCCACCTGGGTCACCAAAGTCTTCGTCTTGAGCGACTTTTTCGCCTTCGTGATCCAAGCCGGCGGTGGCGCCCTCCTCACGGTCGACGGCAAGGAGGAGGTGGGCAAGAACATCCTCCTCGTCGGCCTCTACGTGCAGCTCGCATCCTTCGCATTCTTCCTCGTCATCTCGTCGATCTTCTATTTCCGTGTCACAAAGGCAGGCGTGGATGCGCAGAAGTATGGCAGGTATCACTGGACGACGATGTTGAAGGTGTTGTACTTTGCGGCGGCGTTCATCATCATGAGATGCGTGTTTAGGCTCATTGAGTATTCGGCGGATAGAACTTCATCCATCCAGAAGAATGAGGTGTGGGCGTATTGTTTGGATGCGGTGCCGATGTTGATGGTGCAGTGTGTGTTTAATGTTGTGCATGGCGGAATGGTGCTCCCGAAGGCGGGCGTCAGGAATAAGGAGAGAGCTTCGGTTGCGGGGGAGAGTCAGTATGAGCTGTCGAACCCCGAGTCGCCGGTGTAGGTTTTGGCTTGATTGTTTTTGAATTGGGGGACTAGTTGGTTTTCATTTGGTTTTGGAGTTTAGTTTTTTTTTTTTAGTTTTTTTTTTTAGTTTTTTCTTTCTTTGTCTTCTGCTTCTCGTCGATCCTTTTGTTTCCTTGCGTAATTTTCGATATTTGGTCAGCTAGTTTCAGTTTCAGATTCGAAGAGGAGTTGTTGATTTTTTGGGGGAGCGTTAATTATTTCAAAAAACCATTTTATGTGAATTGGGAAAATTAGGGTTTGATTGGGTTGGGTTAGATACTACATGGGATCTTAGAAGTATGAACTTTACTTAGACGGCCAAAAAATTATTAATCCGATTATACCATGTTCCCAATGCAATGCGCAGTAATGCAGGCCCCCGTATGTCCAGTCTCCCAATCCAGAACTTTAGAATCTTTTATCATGATCAAGCTTAGCACTTCTCTTTCGAAATTTAAAAGATAACTCGATGCTTCCCAGCAATATGATATCAGGGATAAAACCCTATCGACATTACCAGCACTGATAGATAGCACCCGATACGTACCAACGCACAGATAACAGTCCTTCCATTACTGTTTCCTATATAGTGTCAGCGATTAGTAATTTGTTCCGTGTGGTACCGGCTAGCACAGCCTACCTGATATATCGGACTCCGGACGCCGATGTTTCGACCTTTCGGGATCGCGGGATCCCGGGAGTTGTATCCTATCTCGTGTGTGAGAGTCGGCGTAATTTATGTATATGTAGGGAGGGTGCTGTTTATTGGATAGAGGAGAGGGGGGGCTATAGCTATGGAGTCAAACGCGCCTGCTGCATGCATAGAGGGGCCCGGCGGGTGCGTGTGCGTACGTACGTGTTAGGGCAGTTTTGGTTAGGTGGTTGGAGTGGTTGGATTGTTGGGTTCGAAGATGTATTCATTGGCTTGCAATTTTGATGAGGAATACTGGGGGGGTTGTATAGTGCATGGTGAGATTTTCAGCTGTGTAACCCTGCATACGTTGGTGATACCCCTTCGATCTGGATTGAGGATACCAGCTGATTGGATTATATAATTATGGTTGTATATATATAGGATAAGGCCCACCGTCGCTGAACAACATATGAGCATGATCCGCCTGCGAATCGAAGGGGCACCCTATTATGTGTCCAGTAATAAATCTAAGCAGTAATAGGTAGTTTCCATCGCACCGCACCCTGAGTGAGGGTTGAATCCAATCAAGGGGCTATCCGACTTGAAAGTATGCATGGAAAACCAGAAGCTAACTTATGGAGTTGAATCTGTAGAGCCAGCTATAAGCTTCTGGCTAGCAAGAGAGGTTGTGGACATAAAGGTACGGATGGGAGTAGATATTTGGGGGTTATGAGCTATCTGTTAGTGCTTTATGGGTGTGACTGATATACGTGTCCGTTTAACTAGGTGGCCTTTTGAATAACGAAGGATATGGGTGGCCATGTGGTGCTTTGGTATTTGCTTCATGAATAATCACTCGGTATTTGACTACATGTAGCTACATATACCGGTATACACCCATAAGTGCATATTTACGCTTCCTGTCTCTTCGTTTTAGCTTCTTTATATGCACTTTCTGCAGCACATCAAAAGCTTCAGTACTTTTCAGGAATAACGGACGAACTGACTTAAAATGGGAAGCCGTTCTTTCACTGGTCAATATAATTGAAAGATGTCCTCTGGAGGCGAATATCTCGAGCTCCGGCCCGTTTGTATTCTTTACTCCTCTGCAATTGGTCGACGTGTCATTTTCTCACAGATACGTACGTACTCAATACTAAAACCTTCTACCTCAAATTCTTCTCACCCACACTACCTTATATACAGCTGGCTGTTTGTGCCATATTATATTCACTAGAATAGCTTCCTAGTAGGAATGATAAATTTATATCAAGCTTGGTGATTATTATGCAATGATTTAATAATAGAGCGCCCGTAGGTTTTATTGCTAGCTATATAGACACATGTATATGCTTCCTCTCTAGATCTACTCGGGTACAGGAGAAAGAACCAGAAAATGCAATAGGGTTATTTGTATGGCAGCATTTTTTGGTTCTTATTCCTGTACCCGAGTACATGTAACTAGGGGTGTGCCAACTCGCGACCGCGAGTTGTACGTTGAATTATGGGTATCAAATAAAATTTAATTCTCCCTCTACAATCATGAGGGGCCTTCGGCCCCATCCTCCTCCTCTCGTGAGTGCTCAGTACTTTGATGTGTCGTGCTTACTAAATACCCCTGTCGCTGTCGACCAATCAGACTGCAAGCCCCTTCGAAAAATCGTTAATCCAGTACATAGTAGACTAGGGGTGGGCCACCTCGCGACCGCGAGGTGTTGCAATTTTGGAAAATAGATGCATTGCGATATTATTACAATAATAAAAATAAAATAAAATAAAGATAAAATAAAATAAAAATAAAATAAAATAAAAACAAAAAATAGAAAATAAAAGAAAATACAAATAGAGATAAAGAAAAAAACAAAATTCTAACCCATAACAATAAACTCTTATACCCCTTTGGAACTACCCTAAATTACCCTCCACCGCCCTCAATCCCAATCTAAATCTATGAATAAGTTAGTATATCACAAGCAACGGAAATAGAAATTATATTTACCTTGACGTTTTGGTACCTCCAGTTTTATCTTTCCCTAACCGCAACCCTAACCCAAACCCTCCGTCCGCTACCAAGTATCTATATCAATATCAGTTGTTTGTTTGAGATAGAGATAGAGATGATTATTACCTACCACGTTCCCAGAAATCGCTCAATTACCATACTACTGCGCTTCGACTTGCCGGGCTGTTTGTGATCAGAATGCTATATCAATGTTAACATCATTATCAAAAGTAGATTTGAAGACCGTACCCTCTTTATAACAGCACTTCGGGGTATACGATGTTATCAGTTTGCGGCTGCATCTCTTCCACTTGCAAGACCATCAAGCCGGTCACGTCTGTAACCCTTGATAGTGCTACATATAGCTGCCCGTGAGTAAATGAATCAGACCGCAAGTCAACCCCAACGACATCTAACGATTGACCTTGCGATTTATTCACGGTCATCGCAAAGCAAAGTCGAATAGGTAACTGCCTTCTTATTATGATAAAAGGTAGGTCACCCTCAGCGGAGGATAGCTGGATGCGTGGGATAACCTTTGGCTCACCATCAAACTCACCACCCAGAATCTTAGCTTCGATGCACCGTCTACCAAGTCTTGTCACCGTCATACGGGTTCCATTACAGAGACCCTGCTTTGGATATAGATTACGGAGTAGAATGATTGATGCCCCCACCTTTAGTTTGAGAATAGACGGGGGTAGTCCAGAAGGATTTAGACTCTGCAAGTATTCTGGAGGTAGCAAGTTCGTGTTCTCGTCTGAATTTCCGCTGTCAACTGTATCAGCTGAATAGTAGGTGTGCATTTCACCTTGAATTTCTTGTAGAACTCTATCATTGAACTCAGCGACTATATCATTTCTCATCGCCAGAGTTGCACGCTTTGAAAATGCAGCGTAATTTATAGGTGCCGATTCTATTATGTGCCGTGGAAATACATGCGCACAAAGGTCCTCCAGTGTTCTACAGCTCTGAATGATGGCGGTAAAGTGATTCTACCATACCACTGAGCATTGTGCATCATCCCACCAAGCCAAGCCGCAAACTCCCCATTAAGAACACCATTACGGACACGCATATTTATCTTAAGCTTTAGGATTTTGAAGTGCTGCCATAAAAACGACCGTTGGAGGCAGGCCTGCACTATCTGAGCCCGATTACCGCGCTGCACGACCGGTAAGATTTGTGCAAAATCCCCCCCGAGTACGATTGGAATATTGCCAAACAGGGAATCATCACCAACACCACAAATATCATTCAGAGTGCGATTAACAGCCTCAAAGCAGTACTTATTCTGCATAGGTACCTCATCCCAAATGATCAGAGCGGTTTTTGCTATTAAACCGGCCAAGAGACTGCCCCGTTTTATGTCACAGGTTGAGGTCTCATGGATTGCAATAGGAATTTTAAACCTTGAATGCGATGTCCTGCCTCCAGGGAGCAACTGTGCTGCGATACCTGAAGAAGCAACACAGAGAACAATCTTACCCTGGGAACGGAAATGGTTGCAGATAACATTATAGAGAAATGTTTTTCCAGTACCTGCAGGTCCTTGTATAAAGAATAGAGCTGGTGCAGGTTCCTCAGCATTGTGTGTGATAGTGTTGAAGCACTCGAGCTGATCAGGATTGAGCTGGGGAACTCTCAACTGTAGAATTGCGGCTTCCGCGTCCATGTCATATCGAAGTTCTGATGCAACCATCTCATTCCCACCTGTTCGATTCCAATCCACCGTATATAGGGGCAACCCAAAGTCAGATAGAGTTCTATTGGTGTCGGCAAGAATTTGTGATATCAGGTAAAGGCCATAGTCCAGATATGCATCAGGCAATTCGGGGGGTACAATCAGTCCTGCGTTCCTCTCCAAAGCACGGGGCAAGTCATCACAGATGTTTGTTTTGAATTTATCCCATAATGCCAAAGGGTCAGTCACGTTACCGAAGAGTAAGGCAGTAGCAAAGAGTGTACGGAGGGAATATCCACTTGAGAATAGGCTCGCTTCGGTAAAGCATTGCACCCACTCCTGATCATCCTCAAGCAAACCAAGGGCAATACATGTAGCTTTGAATGTAGGATGCAGTATGCCTTCTACGGTTCTAAGATGCTCAAAAGATCTTGCGCCAGGGATAACAGTTAGTAGCAAACGCATGAAATATTTCTCCCCCATCATAGGGTTGCAATGCCACATACGTCCAATTGCGACACCCTGTTTCCTGGGTGCCCACTTCCGCGATCTAGCGTCATAGGTAAAGTGCACAGGGAAATCTTGATAGAGATACTGTACACCAACCTCGTGCTCTGTATTATACTCAAAATACGCCATCAATGTCGTTCTCGCACTTTTCATCCTCTGTATCAACTC